AGAAACTCCTTCCCGGGCCTGCGGTACGGATTTCTAACTAGAGAACATGGTTTTTCTTCCTCATTCCCTCTGTAGGAAAATAGAGGAGGAAGTTGTCGGGGCCACTTACTGTGAGAGTCTAGATAACCTGCTACAGCGATTGGACTTCGTGCTGTTGGCCATGAACCTGACACCCCAGACCCAGGGGCTGATTGGGTGGAGGGAGCTGTGTGGGATGAAGCTCACTGCCATCCTCATCAACATCGGCAGTGGTACCTGGGCCGTGGTGCGTGTCGGGCCGCCTGGCTGGGGAGTCATGAGGGAGAAAACCCCCTGGCGGTCCTGACCCCCCTCACTCACCTTTCTCCGGCACAGCCGCGGTGTTCTGAGAGTCCACGTAGAAGGCTGGGGTACTGAGTTCCCAGGACTTTACTTTCCATGTAGAAATATTTCTGATTTTTGTTTTCACATCATTCTGAAACTCAAATCAACAACAAAAAGGATGAGAATAGTACCATATGGAGTCTTCACACCCCTATCTGGGCATGTTGGAGTAGAGCCGTTACACTTTGATTTTCTGGGTACAATTTAGTAAAATTTATGGGGATGAATTCTTATGAGCCTTCACTTTAAAAAAATAAATAGCTTAGTGTTAGTTTGGTTATTTGACATTTCATGCCTTGTGTTTACATACAAGAGGCAGTGGACCCTGTGGTGGTCCCAAATATTGTGGGTTGGTGTGGCATTTATAGAGAATAGAGCATCGGCACTGATGTCGGACATTCAGGCCAGTGACCTCTATGGGCTGGGGGCCAGAGGACACGGGACACCTAGGGCTCCCAAGAGCCACTCCTGTCTCTTCTGTAGAACAAGGAAGACCATGCTTGCCACCTGAGATGGTGATTTGTAAGAAACATAGTAAGTTATTCTGCTGTGGTCTTCATGCACAGTTTCTGGCTCCTGCTGTCCAAACCCTCAAAATCTCTGAAGCGTTGAGTGATAAAGGTGCCGTTTGTTTAAAAAAGGTGACTTCTGGAACCCACTCGATCAAGGGCAGGGGCTGCTGCCAGGAGGCCCAACCATGGGGTCCACACCTGACCTCTGGGGAGATGAAAGGGCCTGGCGTTTCAATCAGCCAGTGGCCGATGATTTCATGAATTGTGGCCAAGCAAAGAAGCCTCCATAGTAACCCAAAATGCCTGGGTTCAGAAGCTTCTGAATCAGTGAAGACCCAGGGAATAGGGAGAGTGGCAGCTGTCAGCAGAAGGCATGCAGGCTCCATGCCCTGTCCCCAGATCTCTCCCTGTGCGCCTCTTCACTGGGCTGTGGGTTCTCACCCTCTCTCAGATCCCTTAACAAAGAGGTAAATGTGAGTGTCTCCCTGAGTTCTGTGAGCCGCTGCCACAAATTAACGGAGCCTAAGGAGGAAGTCACTGGAATCTCCAACTGGTGGCTACTTGGCCAGAAATACAAGTAACAGCCTGGGACATCTGACCAGTGTCTGAGGTCAGGGGTGGGGGCAGCGTGAGAGGCCTGAGCCCTTCACCTGTGGGACTGGATGCTAATTCCAAGGTAGACAGCATCAGAATTGGGCTGAATTCTCAGACACAGGTGCTGGTGTCCCAGAATTGCTCGGTCTTGCAGGAGGGCCCACTGCCCCATGTTGGCATGCACAGGGCTGGGCTAACTTGCTCCAGAGTTCTCTGAAAATTCAGACCCTCTAGGTGAGCAGGAAGGAGCAAGTAGTTTCAGTAACATCAGAGGCTGGTGGACGTGCTTGAGATTCTGGGAAAACAGCCGGGAAAGGGCGTGGACTAGGCTTTTCCAGCAGCCTCCCCTGCTGCTCCCGCTGCCCAGAGGAAAAGAGCTCCATGCCGAAGGAAAGGGTTTTCTTCTCAGCTTCTGCTCAAATGTGCTGGGCTCTTCTGAATCTGAAAGGACAGTTGAGAATTCTGCTTCTGGCTTAGTGTCCACCGTGCATACGCAGCTGTCAGGGTGGCATCCCTACCCCAAAGAACAAATGCTCATGCCAGGAGGTAGTGACGCAACATGGGCCCAGGCCACAGGTCTGGGCTGATTTGCTAGGAGCTATGTGACCTGCCGTCAGGCCTCAGTTCCTCGTGAGTAAAATGAGGACTGGCTGCCCAGTGTTTGGAGGATCTAGTGGGAGAGCGTGTGTGCAGGCCTAGTGCACTGCCTGGCACGTGTCAGCCTCACATCCAACAACGAAGAGACACGAAGAAGCTTGCGGCCTCTGTCAGATGTTTGGCAAGATCAGGATGTGTTTGCAACAGCAGCTGCTAAAAGAGTAGAGCGCCCTTCCTGGAGACCGCCCAACTGTACTCATGCAGGGGCCTTTTCTCTCTGATCACGTCCATTAGTCTATCAGGATGCCCTGATGGAAGCTCTTCAGAATGGTGTCATCAAAAGGGCAGCACTGCATGTGATGCACCCGGAGCCCCTGCCCAGGTAGGGAAGCGGGACAGAATCTGCATCTCTCCTGATACATGGGGGGTGCTCCTGCAGCAATCCCCGCCTCTGGCTTTGGCAGACCTGCAGGGTCTTGGTCACAGAGACTTGTGAGCAGGCGTCCAGTTTGTCCAGTTCTGCAGCTGGACAGGGAGCTCCGGGCTCTCGGGCTGCAGCCCCCACGGGTGGAGACTGCATAGGATAGTCCTCGTCTTGGACAGTGACCCTGGTTTGCCCCCTGGAGCATCAGAGCGCCTATGATTCTCCTTTTCCACAAACCTGGTGTATTGTCAACCACCGCATCTCATCGTACATCCCCCCAAGGTTAAGCATCTTCATGCCCCTCATTCACAGCCTACAGTACATTTCCAGACACTTTGTTGTTAGTATTGCTGCCAGCACTTTAGGTTCTTTTTTTTTTTTTTTAAGATTTTATTTATTTATTCATGAGAGACAGAGAGAGACAGAGAAGCAAAGACACAGGCAGAGGGAGATGCAGGCTCCCTGTGGGGAGCCCAATGTGAGACTTGATACCAGAACCCCGGGGTCATGCCCTGAGCTGAAGGCAGATGCTCAACCTTGGAGGTGTCTAATCCACCCAAGCATCCCAGGGGAACTAGATATCAACTACACCAATGTTAGAGGTGCTAGCACCACCTTCTCAGCACAGCTGCCCTTGCCTGTTCACCAGAGAGTATGGGCATGACTCAGTTTTTACTGGGTTCTGAATTGGGGACAAAGTAGGTCACCCCGTCTCAGCTCAGAGCCTCATGGGAGGATGGTTTCCAGTGTGTGCTGTGCTGTAGCAGAGCCGACGTTACCCTGGCTCCCTGCCGGGTAGATCCCTGTCTTCACTGTGATCCCTCCCAGGTCAGGTGCCCCAGAGGACTTCCACAGGTTTGGGGTCCCTAAGATTCCCAAAGGGTGGCGGGCGATCACTGTGAGTGTACTTTGGCCTCTGTCTTCAAACAATCCAGGGGCCCTGCTGGGTCAGGTCACCGCCCTTTCCCTGTGCTGGTTCCCAGTGTTACTATCACTGAGCCTGCCCCACGTCCCTCTTTTCCTGGGCTGGCGGCCATCCTCTGCCTTCTTCCGGGAAGAGAACACCCCCTAATCTAATTCCAGTTAATAAATCTTTCCCTTCTAAATGCCACACCCATTAAAGGCACATTCAGCCTGTCCCACGATGCCTAGACTAGCACCCAGATCCCCACGTGCCATCGTGTGCTAATGGCCTGGGTTTGGTTAGGAGTCTTGTGTGACCCCCGAAGATGCTGCCGCCCACCCCGCCCTGGGGTCAAGATGAGTGGGGGTCAGACCTAGCCGTGATCGGGGGATACTGCGTAAGGCCAGCGACCCTCCCCCTTCTCAGCGTGAGGATGTCCGACCGGGACGTGAAATCAGAGACACCGAACCGAGCTGCATAGTTCTCAAGCACCGAGCTGCCTCCCGGGGCGCCGCGTTCCACACCTCATGCTGGAAGCGCGATGCACCGAGCCAGGTGGCAGACGGTGGACGGTCCGGTGGATCGCGTCCGGGCTTCTGCCCACGGCCTCCCCGGCCTCCCCGCCCCGACCGGAGCGCTACTTCAGCGACCGTGTGAGGGCCGATTGAGTGCCAAGACCTAGGGCACATTTAGCGGGGAAAGAATCCTTATTTTGTGTACTTACTAGAGCCCATTCCATACGTTGGTTTGATGTTCTTTCGGCCGGAGGGCGCCCTGTTGGCTGGGTCAGATGTGGGGGTCCTGCGTGAAGCCCGTGTTGTGGTGGGGATCACGTGAACAGACTCTGAAAACCGTTTACTATTCTTTTGGCTGAAAAAAATCTTTTTTTTTTTAGATTTTTTTTATTTGTTTATGATAGTCACAGAGAGAGAGAGAGAGAGAGAGAGAGAGAGGCAGAGGGAGAAGCAGGCTCCACGCACCGGGAGCCCGACGTGGGATCCGATCCCGGGTCTCCAGGATCGCGCCCTGGGCCAAAGGCAGGCGCCAAACCGCTGCGCCCCCCAGGGATCCCCGAAAAAAATCTTAAGAGCAGTAGTGATACCCCCACGGCGAGCCCGCTGGATGCCTGCCTCCCCGTCACCCCCTCCGGGCGGCCTGGGGGAGCTGACGCCGCCTGGACACCCTGGTGCCCTGTGCAAACCCCGCAGGCGCCTGCCTAGGGCTGGGCCCCGCCCCCCGCCCCCCGCCCCCCTCCCCCCTCCCGAGGGCCCCAGCCTCGAGGGTCGCGGTGTCCACGGCGGCCCAAGCCCGTCACGGCGTCCGTGCGTCCGTGCGCCGAGTGCCCGCGGGGGCCCCGGGCGTGCGGGTGCGAGGGGCGCGAGGGGCGCGAGGGGCGCGAGGCCACCAGCCGGAGGCCCTCAGGCGCCGGGCGGCCTCCCTCGGGGGCGCAGGGCCGCGCTGACCGCAGGGGCCCGAGGCTGTCGCCGTCCGCAGCCCGAGGGCGCGCCCCGCCCCGCCCCGCCCCGCCCCGCCCCGCCCCAGGTTGCCGCTCGCCGCCGCCTGCGCCTCTGCTCGCGCGCTTCCGCCCGGGCCAGGCCCCGCCCCCCCGCGCCGTCCGCCCGCGCCGCCGCCGCTCCCCCGCCGCCATGTGGGCCGCAACGGCGCGTCCGTGGGGCCTTCCCCGGGGGCTCCTGGCGCCGCCCTGGGGCCCGCGCGCGGCTCTCCTTCCGGGTGGCGCCCGAGGCCTGCGGGGCTCGCCGGTCCCCTGCGGCAAGAACCTGCTCAAGAAATTCGCCTCGAAAACTAGGTGATGCGCAGCCGGTCCGCGCGGGGCGCCGGGAAGGGGGTCCAGGGGCGGGCCCGCGCGTCGGGCGTGAGTCCGCGGGGGCGCGGGGGCTCTGCGGGCCCGGCCAGCCGCTCTCGGGCACCCGCTCCCGGTGACCCGCCGCCCGCCGGGGCCTGGTGAGCGGTGCCGCCCTCGCTCGCCGCTTCCGGGGCTCGCCCCCCCCCCCCCCCGCTGAACGCTGCGGGGGGTCTCCCCTCCCCCTCCCCATCCCCTCCCCTCCCCCATCCTCTCCCCTCCCCCATCCCCTCCCCCATCCCCATCCCCCTCCCCATCCCCTCCCCTCCCCCATCCTCTCCCCATCCCCTCCCCCATTCCCCCTCCCCCTCCTCGGTGTATTTCCCTGCATCATCTCCTCGGCGCCCCGGTGACACCGCGTGGAGTCCGTGGCCGCAGCCCGCGCCGGGACACAGGATCGTGGCCCCTCACCAGGGTGCAGTGGGCGCGTCCGAGGGCAGATCCGGGAGCCTCCCTGTCCCGGTGCCGTCCTCGCGGCCTCAGCGCTGGTCCCAGAGGGGACAGCGAGATGCGGTGCTTCTCTGACTGAAGGTCCTCCTGTGACGGGCCCAGCTCTGGGGTGGACTCGCTCCAGACCTCCGCGCAGCCGGGGCGGAGCAGAGGTCCTGCGGGGATCCGTATCCACGCCTCGGTGCCTGGTTCCTGCGTCCACAGCTTTGTTGTTCCTTTTTTATTTGAATTCAGTTTGCCCACATAGGGTGTCACACCTCGTGCGCATCCCATCACGTGCCCTCTTCATGGCCCTCCCCCAGCCACCCTGCCCCCCAGGTATCCCAGTCCCCCCATCACCCCATTCCGCGGTTCCCCATCACCCCGTGCCCCCTTGCCCTGATCACCCACACCCCACCACCCTGTCCCCCAGCCCCCCTGTCCCCTGGTCCCCTGGTCCCCCTGTCCCATCACCCCATCCCCTGGTTCCTCCACCACCCTGTCCCCAGTCACCCCATCCCCCCACCCCCAGGTACCTCATCCTCCCTCCCCCCTCCCCCCTCCCCCTCTCCTCCAGGAACGCACAGCACAGTGTGTTTCCTGGAGTCATGGTTTGTTTTTCTTTCTATTTTTTCCTTCGTTTCGATTTAAAATCCTTTTTCTGCCCCTGGATCCCATGCAGGGACCACGTTACATTCATCATCTCTTCAGGCTCCTCTTGCCCAGCGGTTTCACAGACTTTCTGATGGTCTTGATGGCTAGATGTTTTCTAATGCTCCTCTGCTGGGATGTGTGGGACTCTTGTTCTTCCCGTGGTTATGCTGGCATTATGGGTGCTTGGGGAAGGGCCATGTCCATCTGTGTACACGGTGCACACTGCCAGTGTGGTTTGTCACCTTTGGCCTGATGACTGAATGAAGTCACATGTGTCGGGTTTACCGCTGGCAAGTTACCCACACCCACTCCATCCCATCCTCTTTAGGGACTTCCCTTGCTCTTGAATGTTTGCAGTTCTGTGTGAGAGGCAAATAACCTCGTCCTACACTGACTAAAGATCAGTGTGGTCTTACAGGTGTTAACCTAATATAACTTTATCTCGCTCAGATTGTTTTAGCTTTGACCCTTGTGAGCTCTTTTTTTTTTTTTTGTTTTTGTTTTTTTTTTTTTTGTTAAAGATCTTATTTATTTATTTATTCATGAGAGATACAGAGAAAGGCAGAGACACAGGCAGAGGGAGAAGCAGGCCCCACGCAAGGATCCCGATGCGGGACTCAATCCTGGGTCTCCAGGATCACGACCTGGGCTGAAGGCAATGCCAAACTGCTGAGCCACCGGGGCTGCCCTCCCATGAGCTCTTTATTTAGCTCCTATCTCTCTTTGATGTACTTGTTGTTATGGGATTTTGTGGTGGCTTTTAAGTTTAAGAACTTTTTTCAAGCTTTATTTATTTGAGAGAGAAAACAGGAGCAGAAGGAGGGGCAGAGGGAGAAGCAGGTTCCCATCCCAGGACCCTGAGGTCATGACCTGAGCCAAAGGCAGCCACTTAACCGACTGAGCCACCCAGGTGCCCCTAAAAAACATGTTTTTGTTTTTGTTTTAGCACTTCTTCCTCAGGCTGGAGTCAGCCACTTCTCCTGGAAGCTCTGTTATTGCAGGACACCATCAGAGATGATGCCCTGAGACCCGGGGTGTCTGTCCCTTAGGCCTTTCAGCTGACAAAGCAGAAAATAGGTTTCCGTTAACCCCTGCATGCACATATTCTGTACTTGAGCACTGCAGGGATCCTTGAGTCCATACTGATGTCCAGCTCCAGTCCATCTCCACACGGCTCGTCCAGCTAGCATTCCTTGCTTATCTGTAATCTGCTGCTGAAGCGGTGAGGCCTGCCTCCCCCACCACCACCCAGTTTCCCGGTCCCGTCCAGCACGTGCATGGACCCGGGTATGGTGCTTGCGTGCAGTTTGGTAGGCATTCTTTTAAGATTCTCTTTCTGCACCTTCGGGATTGGAAGTAGACCTTAAGGAAACATTAGGAGGTTGAATTAAAACTGTCTTTTATCTCCCCTGCAACCTGTGTTGTTGATCAGAATTCTAAATTTCTTCACTCCCTGGTAACACCATCCCTGTGCCCAGGTTTGGCTCCCTAGGAAGGATTGTGCTATTGCTCTATTGAGTTGCTGTGTGATTTCATTTTCTTTCATTTGCTGTCAGCATCATAGATCTATTTTCTCTCCACAGAAAGAAGTTTTGGTATGAAGGCCCTTCGTTGGGTTCTCACTTGGTAAGTGTAGAGCAGCATCGAGAGCTGCTTTACCCTCTGGGCAGGAGTCATGGCAGTCCTTCCATTTCCACGTTCGAGCAACACAAGGTCTGCAGGGGCAGGACTGGACACACTGGGGTGTGAGTTGTCACTAGTTAAAGTAGTTGTCACTACTTAAAGATTTTATTTTAGAGGGAGAGTGAGTGAGCGAGCAGGGGGAGGGGCAGAGGGAGAGAGAATCCCATGCAGACTCCCCGCTGAGCACAAGCCTGACTGGGGCTCCATCCCACGACCCCGAGACCATGACCTGAGCTGAAACCAAGAGTTGGACACTCCACCACCCAAGCCCCCAGGCGCCCCTTGACTTAAAAATAAATTATTGTGAAGGTTTCTGGAATGTCTGTGTTATCAAACACTAGTGTCAGAATGTCCATCTGGTCTTTAGCGCGCGCGCGTGTGTGTGTGTGTGTGAGAGAGAGAGAGAGAGAGAGAGACATGTATACACGTGAATAAACTGAAATTTTACGTCATGAGTGGTTCTTGTTAGAGAAAGTACATTGTTAACAACCACTGAATTGTTTAAGAGGGAGAACTTTATGGTACGTGGGATTGTTTCAACGAGATTTCTGGATGGAAAAGCATCTACCAACACACTTGTTGTGGGGGGAGGATAGGTGAAACCTCAAGGATCTTGGTCTGTGAGTTGTGTCTTAGTGAAAGCTGAAGTGGCTCAGTCACATTGGCTTTTTTCTTGGTACTTCTGCATGGAGACGTACAAGCCGTCCCGGTTGGACTTCCTAACGAAGACTACTGCAAAGAAACCCAGGAGGGACGACCATGTGCGCCTGCGGGCACTGAACGGCCTCCTCTACAAAGCACTGATGGACCTGCTGTGCACCCCTGAAGTGAGCCAAGAGATCTGCGACCTGGACGTGCAGCTCTCCAAGGTAGGGTCGGGGCCAGAGTGGGAAGAACAGGGTGAGGCCGGCAGGCAGTGTCCTTTGACACCGCAGCCCAGTGTGAGGGAAGGGCCCACGTCTGTCACAAAGCCTCTGGGTTCAGAAGCCACGTGAAGCGTGACCATTTAAGTAGTAAAGATGGGGTATGTGTGTGGCATGCGGTGTGCAGGTGCCCAGTGGGCTTGTGGGATGGATGCACCTACATCTCTGTTGCCCTAGAGTGAGTTGAGCCAGGGGGATGTGAGGAGGGCTAGAGGTGGCAGGTTGGGCATTTTGGCACGCACCATGGGATTGGGGTCAGGGATGTTGAGGGTTCGGATTTGGAACCCAGCTCCATCTCCTATGAGAGGGTGGCAGGAGATGGTGGCCTGTGGCGGGGGTGGGGGGCTGCTGACCAGCTAGAGCTCCTGAGCTCTTGTTGGTCTCCTGGTGTTGTCTGCGTGCGAGAAAGCCCCGGAGGCTGATGCTGACCGGAGTCTGGGGCTGGGCCCCAGGTCTCTCTGACTGCAGACTTCTCAGCCTGCCGTGTGTACTGGAAGACCACAGTCTCCGCCAAGCAGAGCGCACACACAGAGGCTGTCCTGCGGGGGAGTGCTGCCCACATGAGGTGACAGTGCCGTGCTCTCTGCCTACTTGCTTTTGCGTGTACCATGAATCTCCCACTTGCTGCATCAAGTATTTTTGCTTTTAAGGAAAATCTTGGAAGCACATTCTTAAATTTCAAAATGTGATTTATGGTTTCCTGCAAGACCTGATCTAGAGCAGTGGTTCTCAGAGTGCGGTCCTAGACTTCTGGGGACTCCTGACGCCCAGATGCCCCCGTGCTCTTTGAGTGTCATGCCACAGGCTTACAGGAGAACTCAGTGCTATTTTATTTAGGATTTATTTAGGATTATCCTTGAATAAACCTTTTATTTGGGATTATCCTTGAATAAGTGGAAGTTGCTAATTTTATTAAATCCAGTGCTTCTGTGGGGTGGGGAGTGAGCGTAAACTAACCTGTGCTGGTGTGGGATGGTGGTCTCGGGAAGGTGTGCAGTTGAGCGTGAGCAGAGGCAGTCGCTCACTGGAGAGAACCAGTCAACTAGTGTGGTTTTCCAGATTCAGGAGTTTGACATTTTTCTCTAAAATGAGCAAAGTGAACCTGCCACTCTGAGGGAGAACAGTGAACTCTACTTGTTGCCAGTGTAAAATTCAAGCTTTCTTTTTTTAAAGATTTATTTGTTTATTGGGGGGGGGGGGCAGAGGAAGAAGCAGACTCTGCTGAGCAGGGAGCCCAAGGTGGCTTGACCTCAACCTTGAGATCATGACCTGAGCCAAAATCAGGAGTCGGACCTTAACCAACTGAGCCACACAGATGCCCCAAAATTCAAACTTTCAAATGAAAATTGACTTTAGAAAACTTATGTCTACCACCGTGAGTTGGATAGTGTTCCGACACTTAGACTCTGGTAACGCTAATAAGTGCAGTGTTGTGTAGTATGTGCCACCCTCTGAAAATCTGGGTAGGCTGGGGAATCCGTGTTTTCTAAACGAGTTGTCCTTGAGGCCACAGAATCACGAATAGGGAAAGAACAGTGCCCGTTTTCAGGTTCCACGGCGCAGCTAACTAAGCCATTGTTGGTTGACCTGTGGAGTACTCCTCTTCCAGTTAGGGGTCACTGTGAGACCGGATTTTCTTGTATTTCAGCCAAAATAACAGAACAACTTGAGTATAGATGGAGAGATGAGAATCCAGGGAAGCTAGGCACTGAAGAAATTTGTAACTGTGTAAACAACACCACCCTTCTTAATTTTTTTGAAAGTAGTTATATTTCATTAAAAATATCCATGTGAGCATTTAGAGGGTTTGTTATTTGAAATGAATTAACATATTTTTCAAATTCTTGTTTTTAATTTATAGCATGGTAGATATGGACAAGACACAACCCACGTTAACAAAAGCTCCTTGCATCCTCAGTGATTTTTAACAGTATAAGGACCGAACATTTTGAGAACTGTGGAGCTGGGTGATAGTGAAGGAGTTACTCCAGGGGCGCCTGGGTAACTCAGTGGGTGAAGCCTCTGCCTTCAGCTCAGGTCACCATCCCGCGGTCCTGGGCTCCCTGCTCAGTGGGGAGTCTGCTTCTCCCTCTTCCCCTCCCTCTGCTCATGCTCTCTTTCTCTTTCAAATAAATAAATAAAATCTTAAAAAAAGAGAGAAGTTAGTCCGTTTCCTCCCCAGTCCGAGGAAATGCAGAAACCTAACCCACCAGCACTCTCAGAATGGGGTTCTCTCCTCTCTCTCTCCCTTCCCTGCTCTGTCACTCTCACCAATCCCTCTTCCCTCTCACCAATCCCTCATCCATCTCCACCACGTTTTGGAGATGGGGATGAGTCCTGTGAGGAGCTAATGTTTGCATGTCCCATACCGTCTGCTTCAGTTCTCCTGACATCCGTCCCCGGAGGCCCTAGGAGTCTCTTAAATTGTGTATCAAAGAGTGTTCAGTTTATTCTATTTTTTTCTTGTTAACAGAAACGAGAAAAAGATTTCCAATAAATGTTGGCAATAGCAGTATTGTTTTCCTTTTGTTTTTCTTTAAAGATTTTATTTATTTATTCATGAGAGACACACACAGAGAGAGAGGCAGAGACACAGGCAGAGGAAGAAGCAGGCTCCATGTAGGGAGCCCAACACGGGACTCCATCCCTGGTCTCCAGGATCAGGCCCTGGGCTGAAGGCGGCGCTAAACTGCTGAGCCACCCGGGCTGCCCGCAGTATTGTTTTCTGATTAATTTTTAGGTAATCAGGAAATCCAGCTAAACAGACTATCCCTTTCCTAGCTCCTGCGCTCATCCTGCTCACCTGAGGTTTAGTGTGGAGGCTTTCTTGTACCTGTGTGTCACTGTGCAGAGAGGCTGTCCCAGCAGTGTCTTCCCTGGAGGCTAATGCAGCTGATTTCACCTCAATGTGCATGCTGGAGCCACTGCAGATGATGACGTATGTGTGGCTCTGGGTGCTTGAGGACCTCCATGCACGTCTGTGGCCTTGCTGCCAGTGAATGTCTGCTGAGTGGAGGAATGGGGTCGGGGCAGGCTCTTCGTGCCCAGACCTCGCAGCCCATGGCCACCACCATGCCCAGGAGGCTCTGAGCTAAGACCAGGTTATTCATAAGGATCTCAAGAGTTTTATTTAGGCAATTAGAAATAGTCGTGATAATGGGCAGTTGGCTAAGGATGAGTTTCCTGCACTGACATCCTTGTGTTTGTGTAAGGTGATGAGCAAATCTCATGTTTTATCTCTCCTTGAGATGATTGTATATTCTTGTTTCTGCAACTGTCACGTACAATGTCTCTCTCCAGGCACCTTCTGATGGCCCAACAGATCCTAAGGAACGTGCCGCCAATAGTGTTCATTCAGGACAGAGGCAGTTTGGCTCTGGCGGAGGTACGGCTTTAAATAACTCACTTCTCTGACAGGAGCTTACTACAGGGGTAAGATCTTACATGTAATCTTCACATATTCGAATGCTGATGTGTGTAGTTAAAAGAAATAATCCTTTGATCAGTTCATGTGGGAAGTGAGGCTCCCAGGCACCCGTCCTAGCCAGATTCCCTAGAGGTAACCACTTTTTCTGGCTCTTTAAAAAAATGTTTACCATTAAATCTCTAGCTAGGAAACCAAATCTTGGTTTCTCAGCTTACAAACTGTCTTCCTCTTCGGATTCAACCTAAGTTACATTACACTAAAGGTTACGTCCTGTTAATTGTAAGTTAATTATAAAGGTTACAAATTGTAAGTTTATATATATTTTTCTGTGTCGTAGTTACTTGATGGTTATTAAGGTGTGTTATGCTTTTCTTTTTTTTAGGAAACAGGTTTTGCTTTCATTGGCTAGATAGAAAAATATGCAACATTTATGCAATAATTAATTAGGAAACTAGCTTTTGCTATGACACAAAGTAAATAAGGCCATTTTAAATCTTGTTTGAAAACATTGCATGCTTTTCTGCCATGGAAAAAGCTTATTAGCGACACCTAATAAACCGCTGGGTGGCTCAGCAATTGGGTGTCTGCCTTTGGCTCAGGGTGTAATCCCTAGATTGGGGATTGGGTCCCCACGGGGAGCCTGCTTTGCCCTCTGCCATTGTCTCTCATGAGTAAATAAATAGAATAAAAAAAAAAAAGGAAAAAGCTTATTAAAGCAGACTTAATTATTAGTAACAACATTGTTTGAAATAAAATACAGAGTGCTCTTTCAGGTTATTGAACAAAGACACTGCTCATGCACTAGTAAGCAGTCCAAGTTCAGGTCAGAGGATCTTTTGATTAGTGAGTTTAATGAATTTTATTTAGTGAGCTTATAGCTTCAGTTTTCAGTGCACAGAAGGCTCTTCACTCTATGCTTTTTTAATTAAGTCAGTTTCAGTTCAGTTCTCAAAAACCAAGGGTAGATAAAAAACTGACTTCCTCATAGGTCAGGGATAATGCCAATGTATAACTTGCACATTTTGTTTTATTTATTTATTTTTTAATATTTTATGTAAATTTAGTTTGTCAACATATAGTATAACAGTGCTCATCTCGTCATGTATATTACACTTTAAAAAGTTTAGAAAAACACCTAGTCGGTAGCATTTATGGTATTATTATAGTTAGGGAGCTGTTGGTCACCACAGGACTAGATAGTATTTTTTTCTTTACTTTTGCTTCTTTATTTCTTTTCTTTTATTTTTAAGATTTTGTTAATTTATTCGTGAGAGAGGCACAGAGAGAGGCAGAGACACAGGCAGAGGGAGAAGCAGGCTCCATGCAGGGAGCCCGATGTGGGACTCAATCCTGGGACCCCAGGATCACAACCCGAACCAAAGGCCAACGCTCAACTGCTGAGCCACCTAGATGCCCCATTTTTATTTATTTTAAATGTTTATTTATTTGTTTGAGAGAAAGTGCAGGTGCATGTGAGCGGGGGTGGGGGGGTGGGGGCAGAGGGGCAGAGGGAGAGAGAATCTCCAGCAGACCCCCTGCCCCAGGGCTCAATCCCATGATCCGGAGGTCATGACCAAGCTATACCAGGAGTCAGATGCTCAGGCACCCCAGGACTAGATAGTACGTAATCCACAGAGGAAAACAAATCTAAATAGACATTTTCAGTTTTTGTTGGTGGTTATTCAAGCAATACTGAAAACATATGAATAATAACCTTGATGGATACGTGATTTTTGTGGCTAGAAAGGGAAACAAAGGGGTAGAGTGAGCAGCACCACTTAATTTAGAGCATCAAGTATAATTTAGGCTATGGAGTGTGCTGGGAAGATGCATGGAGGAACTCACCCACACACAGTGGGTCGAGCTGGTAGGAGGATGTATCACTGCACTGTGGGAGAGCCCTCTACTCACATTACACCATGACTTGTCCCTCTAGGGGGCAGGAGGTCCTATCTGGCCTGTGGCCCCCTTTTTAGAAGAAGTCATTGGAGGAGGGAAGTGCAGGCAGTGCTCAGAGCATCGCAGGCAGGTGTGTCTGCAGAGATCCTGCTGCTGGGTGTTTGCTGTGGAGGCCACTTGGGCCTGTCCAGCCTGTGTCCTCCCACGTCCTTCCTGGGCTTCTGCTTGCCTCCTTGTTCTTAGGTTTCTGTGTCCCTGTAGCTGGGAGCAAGCAGAGGCTGAACCAGAGGGGGATCTGGGGCAGGTGATTCGCGGAGGGCACGGCTGTGACCTGTTGCTCTTCCTAAGTCCCGGCAGTGTTTTTTGAAGTAGGGGCTAAAGCCAGCCAGTAGTACAGCAGTTTGGACAGACACACGCATGTGAAATTGAGGATTACGGATGAAACTGAGTCTCTGCCTGTCAGCTTATTTTTGTATTTCTGTATCTTGTGTTGGTTGTGTCACGTTGAAAAATTGTTGATAAAAGCAGTGATAGCGGCCGGCAGTGCTTTCAACACCTTGCTTTGCATTCCTAGAATCATCTCCATGACTCTGAGCATTTGAAAGAAGAGCAGTAATGAGCTCTGCCCAAACTGAACCCCCAGTAGCTTTTTTTTTTTTTAATTTTTTTTTTTTTAATTTTTATTTATTTATGATAGTCACACAGAATGAGAGAGAGAGAGAGAGGCAGAGACACAGACAGAGGGAGAAGCAGGCTCCATGCACCGGGAGCCCGACGTGGGACTCGATCCCGGGTCTCCAGGATCGCGCCCTGGGCCAAAGGCAGGCGCTAAACCGCTGCGCCACCCAGGGATCCCCCCCCAGTAGCTTTTAGCCATGTTGGTGTCCATGCCTGTAAACACGCAGCGGAGCTCAGGGAAACAACCGTGGAAACCAGAGAGATGCCAGTGTGCACACTCCCCTGAGAGGTTTCCATTAGAGTCCTGGCCACAGCCAGTGTGCCAGAATCCCACTGTGGGAACCTCCTGTGCGGGGGGCTGAGCAGCACCCCCTGCGTACTCTTCACCCTGTGTCCTGCCACCCAAAGTTCCCGTGGCAGGGGCTGTGGAAACGAGAGTGTGCAGTAGGGACGTGCATGGAGTGCTGGCGGCACGGCTTCCTGTGTCAGCTGAGAACAGTGGACATGCGCCCCTCACCGCTCAGCTGACATGGAGCTGAGGAAAGGCCATGTTCCTGTGACTCTGTTTATAAGTCAGACAGTGTGACAGACCTTTGCTGATGGAAGTCACAGTGGCAGCTGTCTCTGAGGAAGGCAGAGGGTGGGAGGGACGTGAAAGGGCTTCTGGGGTTCATTACCTCGACGTCGGGATGGCTGTTGGTGCAGTGCATCTGTGACATGTCCCCGAGCTGCACACTTGATTTGTGCACATCTCCCGTGTGTTACATTTCAATCAAAGAGTTTTTAAAATACTGATTTTTTTCATGATTGTAAAGGAGAAAATGTAAACTTTCAAAGAAAATACATCAACTATGGTACCAGTGTTGTGATTTATTACACATTTGTCTGTCCCCTGGCTGACCATCAGGCGAGTTCACCTAAGCACATGGGCTGCTTGCTCTCCATAGTCAGGCCTGAGTCCTCCCAGACAGTGGGGTCCGAGCAGCCCCGCCTCTCACTCAGAGGTCAGCTTAGAGCCGCTGCCATCCCTGTGTGGGTTCTCTGGGCTCAGAGTTGGCCGGGAGTTACCTTGCAGCCTTCTATGTGTGTCAGGGTTTGGTTGCATTTACATCGCGTTCTTGGTTAGGGCTTCACAGATGAGCCTCTGAGGCCTGGGCTGCGGGCAGTGCCCTCTGTCCTCACCCTCCTCCCACCAGCTCCAAAGTAGTTTCCCCAGGTTAGAATTCAGGAGTTTCACATGAATACAAGCAGACACCTGGCTGCTTATGCCTGGCACAGATTTTGAGGTTCACCTTGTTTCATGTGTAGGTGGTTCCTTCTTGCTGAATGACCCGATTATCCTCCCATGGATGTTAGTTTCTGTTTCTGATTTTTGGCTACTCTGAGTAAAGCTGCTCTCAATGGCAGTGCACACATCTTTGCGTGAGTGTGTTCCTTTTATTTCTTGCAGGTCAACATGTAGGAGTGGCCAGTAGGTGTTCTAGTTCTTGGGAAACTGCTGGTCAGAGTTACCAGGCTGTGTGACCATCTGCTCCCACCTGATGCTGGAGGCCCTGCTGCATGTGCTGAGGCCGTTCTGGTGGTGCACTGTGGTGACTAATTCTGCTGAGCATCTTCCCAAGCACGTGTTGGCCGTTCTTGTGAAGTCTGTTCAAGTCTTATGCCGATTCTTACAAGGTTTGCTGAGAGTGGGGTGTGTGAATGGTCATGTGTCCAGCACAGGCCCCCTTGGCAGGTACAAGCGGATGTGTTCTCTGAGCTCACTCGGGAGATGTCCACTCAGTGCTTGTTTTGTGGCATCATCAGTCCTGTTTTCTGGGGACTGACTTTTCTCCTGGTTCTTCTGTTTTTACACTGGTGGTTTTTACTGGCGTGCCGTTGGTTTGTGGTGATGCTTTGTGTTGCTGTGCGATGGCAGGCCACCAGCCTGGGCTGTCTTGGGCTTGCCCTGCAGCAGGGTAGGGTCTCAGGAGCATGTCCTGGGCCCGCCAGTGGGTGGGTAAAGGTGTGAGCCGTGCTCGGTGTCCACAGAGAGGCTCTGGTGGGACCCTCACAGAGGAGAACCCTCGTGCCTAGGTTATTAGGCTCCTCAGCCAACATGGAGCTGGATTTGTGTGCTGGACCCGACGTGACTTTATCGCTATGCCAGGAGGCTTTCTTTTCCCAAATAAAAATTCTGTGGCAAAATTGAAGTATTTTACACACATCATTAGGACTTACTTATGTAAACTAACATTTACTGGGTTTTTTCGTAAGTTTGCCTGACGTTTACAAGTTTCAGGCATAGTTTTAAAAAATCATCTGTTATCAGAGAAAATGTGATTGTAAGTAGCAGGTTTGAAAGCACAGACTGGCAGACAGTGTCACTCCTGGATGGTGTCAGCAGAGGGACTATTTAAGCTGGTACGGTGAGGTTCACCGTGAGCCAGGCTCTGATGCCCGTGGTAGATAGGTGTGGCTTGCTGAATTACCCTGTCCATGCTCTTCAGGTTGACCGGTTACTGGCCAGTGCTGATTTTGGAGCCCCGGACAAGAAAGAAGACTCTGTGCAAGACGATGTCAGGTATATGAGGACCTGATTTTTATTCTCTTTTTTTAAAAATATTTTATTTATTTATTCTTGAGAGACACAGAGAGAGAAAGAGGCAGGGACACAGGCAGAGGGAGAAGCAGGCTCCATGCAGGGATCCCGACGTGGGACTCGATCCCAGGACTCCAGGATCATGCCTTGGGCTAGAGGCGGCGCTAAACCCCTGAGCCACCTGATTTTGATTCTTTGGGCAGATGTACAGATGTGGAGTTGCTGGTTGCTGTGGCGGTGGCATCGTCTTGCACCCTCTGCGGCTGTGTGGGTCCTGCCCTGGGGCCCAGACCTGCAGCAGCCTGTGGCGGGTCCCACGGCCAGCCCTGCAGCGGTTCCTAGCACCTCCACAAGGCAGTTAGGAGGGCCTCCATGGCCCCCGCAGAAGTGCTGGGGCCCATGGCTCCTCAAGGGGGGCAAATGTCTCTCCCCACCCTCTTCATCCGCACTGCAGTTTTCTTGAATGCGTACTATACCCTGTTCTGGCATGAGGGTACTTCCATGAACAGAACAGATGAGCCTTTGGAGCTCGCATTTTGCTGGGAGAGGCCAGTGGGGAGCAAAGGGTGCCACAGGTGACTATAGACACCCTTTCTGGTTGGCGGTTTGGGAGGCGGATGGGTGGGGGTGGTGTTGTGGTTTCCAGTTGGACAGGCTCTGTGTGAGAAAGAGATTGGGGCCTCGAGGGTACTTGTGGAGGGGCTGCATTCCAGTGGGGAGGAGCTCCAGCAGGTGCTCAGACCGGTGCATTAATGTCGTGGGTACAGTTGTGGGGCCATGGTCACCAGCCCGAGGGCTGTGGAGCTGGAGCCCCAGGCAGTGGGGAGCCCAGCCCAGGGGTGTGAGAGCCTCAGAGCTGAGCAGGAAAGGGTTAGAGGCCAGACTTGGGTTTTGGAAGTGTTGTACCAGGTTTGCTCTTCCCTTTGGTTTCCCAGGTAACCCGAGGGCTAGATCTGAAAGGCCCCCGAAATTCTGTTTCACTGGCTGGCCTAGCACATGGCCATGTTTGGGAAAATAGATGGAAACATGAGAAGGGCTATGTCGGGCTGTGCTGCCCCACGTAGCAGTTGTGGGCTGGGGTGGGGTGGGGGTGCTAGTACCAAAGCCCCTTCCCAGTGTTGTCTTCCCAGCTTCCCCTAGACTTGGAGCAGCGCACAGGCACATGGAGGTGGGGCTGGGGAGTGCTGTCCTGCGGCTTCGCTTGAGCTTCACCTGACGCTTTTTCTCCCTCCAGGAGTCCCAGGGCCCTGGACGCTCCTACACAGCAAGTCACTCTGGCCTCCACTACGTGCTCAAGTCTGTGCGGCATTGATCATGAGGCGCTCAACAAACAAATCATGGAGTACAAGAAGCAGAGAGGGCAAGGCTGTAGGACTGTGAGCCCTGAGGTGTCGCAGCTGACAGCTGGTCTGGCATCACAGACAAGAGCAGGAAAGGTGGTGGCTGTGCCCTGCGCAGACGGTGACCTCTCCCCCAGGAACCACCTGTCGGGGGCGGGGAGCACTAAGCCCCACCCTGACCTCAGTGGGGCTTGGGGTGTGGACAGCAGCTCCGAGGAACAGAGCAGGGGGCGGTGAGGGACCAAGGCAGGAAGGGTGGAGGTGACCAAGTGGCGGGGAGGGGGTGAGGTTCCGGCTCTGCCAGCAGAACCACGGGCTCCACATGTACTGCACAGCCTGGCAGCGGGTGGACTCATAGCTCTAGCTTGGGTTAGACGCCTGTGGAAATTCTTTAGGTGGATGGCACCAGTCGGCCCACTTAGAGGCTCATGGGGCACTTGCACACCATCTAGAACATGCACAGCTGCCTGCTGCATTGTTCCCAGTTAGGAAGGCAGAGTGTCGCCATGTTTGCACGTTTCAGCTCATGCCCGAAAAGCCGTCCTCAGGGTCTCCATAAGAACGGCCCTGAGTCTGCTTTTCCCCAGGGCAGGATGGCCGTGGTGTGCCTTGTCGGACGAGTACCGTTGGAAGGAAGTATAATAAATCTTTAAGTCTGACCTCGAGAAATGTCGTTCTGGGCATGGGGCTCCTCCCTTTCCCAAATATCATCAGTGTCAAGATGCTGAAAACAGCATCAGCGGAGTATACGTGATCACACGTGCACCAGTGAGACACAGCAAGGAAGCTTGTGACATGGCCTTTGGGGGAGCACAGCTTCCACATGTGTGAACAGTCAGCTCTGCGGTGCTGGTATGCCCCCCGTGCACCTGCCAGCGTAGCCCCTGTGGAAGGGGCACCTCCAGGATGCGGGAGACTGCCGTAGGAGCTCCAAGCATGTTGTTGTCTGGGGGCACGTGTGTGGTCCTTGCTGACCCGGAGACCTGGAAGGTGCGGGTAACCGGAGTGTTTCTCGAGGAGCACACGTGCTGACCAGAGGAGGAACATCCAGACCAAGGCTGCACGTATCTGAAAATACCTCTGGGTTGGTTCTAATCAGGAATCTAGTGAGGCAGGATGGCAGACCTGGAGAGGACAGTCCTGTGTTCAGTGTCCCTGGGAGGCAGGGCCGCTTGGGGAAGCACCAGGCTTGGTCAGGAGGCAGAGGAACAGGAGAGGGGTGGGTGGGCAAGGCTGATGCTGAGACTTCTGTGGGCTCTGGACTGTAGGAGCATGGGCCCTGGAGACACAGGCAGGGGAGATGCTGACGAGTGGGGTGTGGGCTCTGGTCGGTGGGCTTGCGTATTAATGCAGGGCCATGGTTTGCCATGTTGAAGAGTTAGCCTGGGCAGGGGGGCAGGCCAGCAAGGCCCCCAAGATGGTAAAAACATCGTTAACACAGAACATCCGGAACCCTCTGCACCAAGCAGCCTGCTCAGTGGCTGCCAGGTCTGGGTTTACGCTGCAGAAGGTGCCCAGACCCCAAATGCAGCACAGTGGGCGTGGCTTCTGGGTTGTGAGGCCCAACCACCGTGAGGGCCCGTTGGTGTTCCCTGTGGCCTGAGAAATCTGAGGCAAAGCAGGACACAGAGCCAGAGAGGAGACTGAGAGCCGCTTGTCCCTGGGCTTGTGGCAGAAAATCAGGGTTTCAAGACCAAAGACACAGGGAGAAGGCAAGATGCAGGTTTCTTGTATTTGAAGAGAACCCAGGATGGTCTATGTGCTGACCCAGTGGGGCAGACGCGGCAACCTTGTGCTGCGCGGAAGCGCTTTCCAGCCCTGTGACTGCTCTAGGTTCTTTTTTTTTTTTTAAAGATTTTTTATTTATTTATTCATAGAGATGCAGAGAGAGAGAGAGACCGGCAGAGGAAGAAACAGGCTCCATGCAGAGAGCCTGACATGGGACTCAATCCAGGGTCTCCAGGATCACACCCTGGGCTGCAGGCGGCGCTGAACCACTGCGCCACCGGGGCTGCCCTGCTCTGGGTTCTGTAGGCTGATCTGTCCTCCGCTCAGTGCCATCCAGCTGTCAGAGAAGCGTGTCCACCTCAGGGGGTCCTAGTGTGGCTCTGCTGTGTGGACACCTAGGGAGCCTGGCAGGTGTTCTGTGTCTTCTAACATGTGAGGGGACAAGGGGAACAGTTGAATCGGTGTCTACTGGAGACTGCATTTCTTACCTCCTGAGGATGTGCGAGCTGGACGACCCTCTGCAGCGCAGCCCCTGACGTGGCTGGGGTTTCATGTCCTCCTGAAAGCCATGCCTGTCAGAATCCAGCGTGCCTGCAGTTAAAACCCCTCTGGAATCCTGAGCAGTCACTGAGCGTCCTAGCCTCAGGTTTACCTCGCAGAAGGTGAGCACACACCTGTGTGGCTTTTCAGTGTTGATTTGATCACAGGTTTAGATTTGGACACCTGGATGGGAAGCCGAGGATGAGCAGATTTTGTGCTGAGATGGGAAGCTCAGAACGACAGTGAGGCGCAGACCTTGCAAACGTGCCTGCAGATGGCCCAGCAGTGGCCGCAAGCACAGTAGGCAAGCCTCCAGCGGGCTTCCAGGGCTCCGAAGCCCCCAGGAGGAGGTGGCATAGGCCTCCCGCAGAGGCACCGTGGAGGAGAGCCACACGCCCATGAACTGTTACAGCAGCGGTCAGGCCTGACAACCTTTCCGTTGACTTCTCAGGTTCCCAGGTTCTTGCTGTATTCCTCAGGCCTGCACATGTCTGATTGACGCCTTGTCTTGCTGGGTGTTCACTGGGTGTTGGCTAGTGTGCTTCTTGCTGGGCTGAAACCAACACTCACATGCCCTCCAAAGAGTGGTCGTGTTGAAGGGGAGCTGGGCCTTTGCCACCTGCATTGGGAGGAGCTCTGCTCCGCTGCAGTCGGGGTCAGCTCCAGACTAGCCAGGACCAGCCAACTTGCAATGAGTCCTGCTTTCCTATGTCTCCAGGTAGTTTCCCTTTTAGTCTCCCCAACCCTGCCAGTTCTGTGTGGTTCATGCCTCCCTGCCACTGAGCCTTGGTTTCTGAGACTTTGAATCTGGGTAAGACAAGCGCTGGAGTCTTGCTTTTCCCTCCTAGAACAGGAACCATGCAGATTGGCCTGTGTCCAAGATTCTGGCAAAGCAGGATGTCAGGAGTTCTATTCTGTCTGCAGGGCACAGAGGTCAAATGGAGATCCCACTACATCCCCTTGGGCATGGGTGCGCCAGGCTCCCCGGAACTGGAAGTGTAAAAGCAGCAGCTTCTTCCCTAGCACCTGGCCAGGATGACCACACAGGCAGAGTGTAGTGCACAGCCTGCAGTGTTTGCCTTTCCTTCTCTCTGCGGTGCACAGGGTGCCAGACAGTGTTAGAGAACCGACTTCCTCTGTCCGCTCAGAGCTGAGGTGACACAGTCGTCATAGAGATGCCACTAGATCAGAACCCAAAGTTTGCAGTGACTGAAGGCACAAAACATTGTTGCTAGATCTGGATTAAGCTTCCAAGCATTCTAGAATGCATGTCCCTGTAGCACCATTTTCTGTGTATTTTCAAATTCACTTAGGATAGCACCGCTCAATAGGAACCACGAGGTTAGGCACAGCCTTGTTTAGTAAGCTATTCTGGGAAGAATATGTGTACAAGAAACTCTCAGATGTCCTGTAAATCCTCTTGACTCAGCCCCAAACATAAACTTCCCTTATGTGCTGGCATGGCAGACAGCTTGTACACTGGTTCTGGACGTGCTGGGTGCAGGCTGTAGACATGAGCCAGCACGTCAGAGTGGCCAACAGGATGGTGGCATCCACATTGTGTGGGCTGGACCTTCTGCTGGGATTCTGTTTTGAATTCCTGATGTTGGTCCCTGCTCAGACCCATGGCTTGTAAATTGGCACATGGCTACATTACTGCACCACACATCATTAGAATCAGGAAGGTTTGTGAGGAGTCAGTGGCTGCCATCCCACTCCCATGCTCATCTACTGTGTCTTCAAAGCAGGTTTTACTAGAGTATATTAATCTTGGTCACAAAGCCAAGAATAATTGCATGTATTTTAGTTACCAGGAGAAAAGCAGGGAAGAACCATCCAGAAATGTCATTGAGAAATGACAAGGTCTGTGGCAGATTCTTGTCTGAATTCTATGGATGCAAACCAACAGAGCCTGAAAGTGTGCTACATACAGCCTCAGAGCACTATATTAAAGTATGTGTGTGAATGCCCGTGTGTGCGATTGTGTTTGTACATGTGCAAGTCTAAGTGCACATGTGAAGTGTGTGTGTGTGTGTGTGTGTGTGAGAGAGAGAGAGAGAGAGAGTGCATGTGTGTGTGTGCCTGTTCACAAGCTATTAGGCTATAAGGTCTTTTTTTTTTTTTTTAAAGATTTTATTTATTCACGAGAGACACGGAGAGAGAGGCAGAGACAGGCAGAGGGAGAAGCAGGCTCCATGGAAGGGAGCCAGATGTGGGACTCGATCCCGGGTCTCCCAAGATCATGCCCTGGGCTGAAGGTGGCACTAAACTGAGCCACCCGGGCTGTTCAACTATTGGGTCTTTTTAAAAAATATTAGAGGGATGTCTGGGTGGTTTAGCGGTTGAGCACCTGCCTTTAGCCCAGGGTGTGATCCGGGGTCCTGGGATCTAGGCCCGCATCAGACTTCCCACAGGGAGCCTGCTTATCTTTCTGCCTGTGTCTCTGCCTCTCTATCTGTGTCTCTCATGAATAAATAAAATAAAAAAAAATTTTAGAGCACCCACGAGCAGTGGGGAGGGGTAGAGGGAGAGGGAGAAGCAAGCTCTCTGCTGAGCAGGGAGCCTGATATGGGGCTGTATCCCAGAACCCTGGGATCATGTCGTGAGCCAAAGAAAGACACCTAACTAACCGAGCCACTCGGGGTTCCCCAGGCTATGATGTCTTAAGGCACAACATTCATAACCAGGCCATCTGGGCATTGCCACTGACCCTTTTGTTGTTTTGGTTCCATTTTGAGAAGTCTCAACCATCAGGGTTAGGGAGGAGGCAGGATTTGAAGATCAGGCCCAATATAGTTTCAAAGCTGTGCTTTTTTGGGTAGAAACACAATGGAGACTTCTGACCCTTTTCTGTAATGAAATAATGTTGAAAATGTTCTGATGCACAGCAATGTCTAGACACCACCCCCACCCCGGAATCTGTGGTAACAGTTGGGTCTGGAGTCTACCCTTGCCCCTCCTCTTACAGGGGCCCTGGTCTTTGTGCCTATGTGATAAAATGGAGGGCATGAGGGTGTCAGAATCGAGAGAGGGCTTGGGGGAGAAATTTTTCTGACCCTTGGCATAGAGACTGCCTGCAAAAAGGAGAAAAAAACAATTACCTCTGGGAAAGAGGAGAATCTGATTTCCAGAGTTACCATATGGTTAGATTCAAAAGTCCAGTTTGCAACAAAAAAGTCATAAGGCACACAAAAACAGGAAGGTGTGGCCCATTTAAAGGAAAAAAAAGATACCATCCCTGAGAAAGACCTGATGGCAGTTCTACTAGACAAAGACTTTAAAGCAACTGTCTTGCTCCTCAACTAATGAAAGAAGTGGAGCAAATCAACAAAACAACCTTTGAACAAAATGGAACTATCACAAAGAGAAAGCAAAAAGAAACTGAAGAGAT